GCTCAGACTCCATTGACTAAAAATGGCTACACATGGCTACAAAGGAAGCTGAGAAATTTCTAGCTGTGAACTTACGAGGAAAAGAAAACAGATTTGGGGTGAAGAGTTAGCAGTATCTGCCACAGGATAGGAGGACCATCTTTCCTCTGCCTGTGTCACTGGGTGGCCATGAGCTATCACAGAATGGCTGGATGCTCATTCTGGAAAGGCCCTTGGGGATCATTTAGTTCAACCCCCTGATTTTACAGATGGGAGACTGAGGCCCAAAGAAAGAAGAGACTCCTTCACTGCAGAGTTGCGTGATGCTAGAGCCGCCCTGTTTGGCTTAATCAGTCAGTGCTTTACTGCAAAGTGGGTCTTTAAGCAAGAAAACCTTATCCCCATAAAAATGCTGTGAAGTTCACATTTTAATGATAAAGAAAAAAGCATTAAAAACAATACTATTTAAGATGTTGATGATGTAAAGATTGTTGCAGTGGTACTGAACCTAAATGATTCTTTCTTTAGGTACTCAGGAGGCTCTTCTGTGTGCTAGGGTCCCCAAGAGTCTTCATCACCAGGAACTTCAGCTACCCCCATATAATATTGCAAAATCCTTCAGCCGACCGTGTTTGGGGTGAAACTCTACCAACTTGGATAAAAAGCCAGTTACTAAGTGCGTAAATGTGTACAACTATTTAACCTTTTTGAGCTTTAGTTCTTTCATCAGTAAAATGGAGATAATACCTACCCCTCAGGTTTGTTGTAGAATTAAATACATGAAAGCCACTGTATCTGACACCTAGTTGGGACACCAATAAATGTCTCTATTCTTATGTAGTTGAGGTCCTTTCTGTGAATACCTAGGGGGCCATTACACCTAAAGATCAGTCATCACTCTCAAAAGGGGCACCTCCAGTATTTAAGCAACAAATACAATGTTTTTTAATATCTGCAAATGCTGAACTAGGTGCCTAGGATCCGCAACGGAAAAGAAAAGCATCTGTTCCCAAGGGAGACTGAAATGTAAACAGAAAATAACAGCAACCTATGACAAGCTGCAAGGACAGAATGAGAGATGGAGGCAGCAGGGATTCGGGGGTGGGGAAATGTGGGAGTTGTGGGGCTCTCAGAAGTCCGCCTGGCTGTGTGGCAGGTCCTCCCTTAGGAGGCGATATGCTTCCTGGGGAAGGAGTAGGAGCTGGCCAGGTAAGGGAAAGAGGAGGGGGAGGACACAGGTGTGAGGAAGCACATTTCTATAACGAGACAACTATTTTAGGTACTGCAGGAACAGAAAAAAAAAAGATTTAGCGAAAGAGAAGGTACATATGGCTGACGGCAGTGGGTTTCAGACTGATTTTATCTTGCCAGTGATGGGGGGCCATCGAAGATTTTGGGCAGAGAGATAATGCGAGATTAGTGAATGGACAAGTGGGAGAATGACACGGCCGGTATTCCCGAGGGCAGGCGCGAGGCCACGCCCACCTGCCTTCGTTCCTTCAGTCGTTCAACTGATAGTTACTGAGGGCCTGCCACGTACCAGGCTGAATTCCAGTAGCTGGCAATCAGGCAATGGACAGGACTGGCAAGGTCTCTGGTTTCATGGAATAGACTGACACTATATAAACGAGTGAAGAAGCAAGGAAGTATTAGGTAAGTGCACCTTGGAAAACTAAACCAGGTGATTGATTCCCGGAGCCGCTGCTCTTCACTCCCTCCCCACCTTCTGAATGCTCACTAAGCCTTCTCTAGGTCTAACTTTAGTTTCCCAAGGAGGTTTACTCCTAGGAAAATAGCCAAAGTAAATAATTAACCCAAATCTCTGGGTGCTTCCAATAAACCCTGTCTGAGTGGGTTAGTCAGAGCTAGTCTTCTCCAGGGCCTGGTGAGTTTATAATCCTTGCTTCGGGACTACCGATTCTTCTCAAGTCTAAGGCTAGGAGGTCACGGCAGCCTTGAGACATTTCCTGATCACCGTTCCAATGGCAACGTATGACCTTCTCCTCGTTCACCGCCCACCCGCATATATACATATCCTTTAGAAGAGAAGTCTTTGAAAGTATGATTGAAATTGTGCCTTCCTCTCCTCTGACAGATGCAAACTTTTAAAACACATGGCAGTTTCTGGCAGAACCGCTCCTCCCACCCTCCCCACCCTGGGCTCCGGTGAGCAGCTGGATGGGGAATCCCCGCCGCCGCGCGTTCTGGGCGCCGCAGCTGGAAGCTGGCTCAGCACCACCGGGCTCACTGGTGTCTATGTCAGAGCTCCTCCGTGCCAAACGCTTTCGGGCCAAGAACCAAAAAGCAAGCCCTGTACTACATGTAACTGAAGAAACAAGGGACTGGAAAAGCAGATTTCTCACTGTGCCTCTTGGTCTTCCTCCGTTTGATACATTACTCACCGCGAGATTAAAAACAATTTTTTTTATTATGAAAACTTTCAAAAAAAGTTTCAAATTCCCTTTGTTTTAGGGCAATCTAGTGAAAGCCCCAAGAGGGCCTCTCTGATTTTGCTCGACTTCTCCGAACTGCCTGATAGTAGTCATAGTTTGCTCTCGGGGGACAATAGCAGTCAGAAACAATTAAATTAGGGCCCTTGCTTGGAGGGGGTTTTATTTTAGTAGGAAGAGATGAGACTAATAAACGTCAGTCTTTTCTCTTTCTCTCCCTCCCTCCCTCCTTTTTTTTAAAATGTCAACTTACACTTTTCAAGATGCTTTCACATTCCTGATGCAGTTAAAATAATGAATTCAGTGCCAAAAGAAAATTTAGAGATGACCTGTGGCTGGCACATATTGGGCACTTCCTAAACACCTGTCCATGGTAGATATTACTAATCGATCACTCATTCATTATAGAACAGTTATTCATTGGATACCCTCCATGTTCCACATGTTATGTTAGGAATACAGCAGGAAACCAGACAGACTTGTTTGCTACCCTTATGGACCTCCAAGGGGAAGACACACATTAAACAAATAATTACACGCATGAAACGTGTTTTTATAAGGCTCCAGTGTGGGGGCAGACAAGGGCATCATCACACACCTGGAGGTAACCTGGGGGTGGAGCAGGGTCAGGAAACACCTCCCTGAAGGAGTGATGTTTAAGCTGAAGTCTAGAGGATAAGGAAACTGAGTCTCTGCGAGGGTGAAAAAAGAATGGTAGAATGGAAATCCGCAGGAGTCAGGGCATGCTCCATGGCTAAATGAGGCAGTATGGACTCTAAATGGGTGCCCATGTCCAGAGGGAAGCAGGTTGGCCCAGCCCCGCCTTGAAGGAGTTGGTTGATAGGAGAGGACTGGAAGAGCTTGAGCAAAGGTCAGATTTATTGTTTATCCACTCCCTCCCTAGGGAATTATGCCCTCACCTGCTGCCATTTTAAAAAGCTATAAATTATTTGCTACCTACTACTGGGTGACAATTCTCATTATCACCTTTTTTTTTTGCGATGTAAGTATTATTTTTCTACTTTCACAAATGAAGAAAAAGACTTGGGAGGACTAGAAACACTTGCTAAAGTTGACCATCAAGTGGGCAACAGAGTTAGGATTTGACAGCTGCCCTTTCTACAACTCCTGTCATAAAATTCCCAGACTGGGCCTTGTTCTAACAGCCATTGACTAAAACTTGAAAAGCGACAGAACTTTGATTCCGAAATACTACTGAGGGAAAGGTTCTGTAGAGATGACCCAGGTGAGTGGACACCATTAGGCGGAGGAGTGTGCGGAAGAAACCAAGTCGTAGAGGGTGTGTGTGGAGGGCTGGGTAGGCGAGAAGTGACGGAGAGCGAGTCCTTGGGCTGCTCCAGGTCTGCACCGTGGGGAGGTGCCCCGTTCTAACCACTACCCGGCCCTGCCCAGTTAATCATTTCCTGACCTTCCTTCCTCCTAGCGTCCTGCTGCAGGATTGCCACATCAGCCTCCCTCCTCCCCCTGTTTGCCTCCTGGCCATGCTGCTCCTTCACCGGGTTTTACTAGAAGCCCCAACTTTCGGGCAATATTTGTAATAGCCCCTGACGTCCTGCAGGCCGTGACCCAGAGAGATCGCGGGTAATGCCTGCCCAAGCGGCCCCTTGAGACTCGCCCTATCACCTTTTTTGTAAAGACGTCAGAGTCGAGGATCCAATCTTCGCACGGATTAACCAATTAGACTCGGTTTCTCCGCGAGGTGAAAAAGGGGACGGTAATAATGGCTGATAAGGTGGTGTGAGGTTTAAATGAGGTATTGTGTTAAGTGCCTGGCTAAGAGACAGTCGTAGGTGTTTAACAAATAATAGATCTCGTCCTTTTTTATCAGCTGGTAACCTGGACCTAGCGCTAAGCAAACCCAGGTTGCCTACCTTACATAAACTTCCGCTGGTGGGTGAGGTATGAAAGTCCGGCCACGTGCTCAAGATGACGCACTTGGTGAGTAACAGTGACAGGATTTGAACCCAGGTTCTTGGGCGCCCCTGAGTCCCCAGCCACTCAAAACTCACGGTGGCGGGCCTAGGTCAAGTGTTCTGAACCTAGAACCGGGTCATGTATCGCACCTGCGCAGGGCGCAAAACTCTAAATCAGGACTGCCCTGAAACCTAGGCATCCCGCTGGGCTACCGGGGACCAGGTCCTTAACCTCTCTGAGCTTGTATTTTCATGTGCAAATGGAGGCTATAGTGCTGTCTGTCTGATTGGTCCTTAATTTTCTTCACTTTCCTGAGTGGCCAGATTTCTACCACAGTGCAGTAAGACCACCACACAACATGCAAAATCAGCCTTTTCTAACCGCGAGCACTTGCTCGCCCGCCGTAAATGCATGGACCAGCCCAGCGTGCCCAGGCTTGGCGCCCCACCCTTCCCGGGGTGGGGGAGAGCCACGACCGCCCCGGGCGGCGGAGTTAGGAAAGTCACTTCCAAGCGCTGCCCGATTCTGGGCCACCCACCAGAGCGCGCCCGGTTCCCACCCGGCTCGAGCGGGAGTGGGCGGGGCCTGGACTGGGGGAGGGGCTGCCCAGGGGCGGGGCGGGGCTGGCCTGGGAAGACGGAAGCCCTCAGCTTGCGGGTGTCGGTAGAACCCGGATTCCGGAGTTTCACATTCTTTGGAGCGGGGTTTCTGAACACGGCGGGTGGGAAAACCCGGCGCCCGGAAGCCTTCGCTTTCTTTGACGCAGGGGCTCTGGACGCAGCAGCCGTCGGCCCAGCGCCCAGCCAGGAACGACCCCAGACGGAGCCTTCGGAGTTCCTCTGCCCCCACCGCAGGGTCTCAGAGCTTCGGTCCTCCTCGCCGCTCTCCTTGTGGCCATGGAGTGTCCGCACCTCAGCTCAAGCGTCTGCATCGCTCCGGACTCAGCCAAGTTCCCCAACGGCTCCCCGTCGTCCTGGTGCTGCAGCGGTGAGTGCGTCCCCGTGCGGCCCTGCCACGCACCCGAGGCCCCGGCTCCGCGGGGCCTGCCGTCTAGAGGCCGCGGGCGGCGGGCGCGCGGACTCGGGGAGGGGTGAGGGCAAGCCGGGCTCCGCAGCTGGGGAGGGTGCGCGGTGAGGCGGGTGCGGCGGGTAGAGCGGCAGCGGCGGCGACTCCTTTGTTTCCCGCGGCCCGACGGCGCGGCCGGCGGGGGAGAGGCCCGAGAGGGGCGGGAGCCCGCGGGGGCCCCGAGCGCGTGGGGGCAGCGGCGGGCGGGGACCCTGGCCCGCGGCTCGTGCCTCCGCCACGCCCTGAGATGCCTGGGGGCTGTGCTTGCCAGTGTCGCCGGGTCGGGGGCTGTGGGGATGGTTGTTCGGCCCCTACAAGGTGGCCGCACGTGTGGCGGGGCCCAAGCTGCGTCCCCTCCTCGACCGGATGGGAAAGCGCCACTCTCGGGGCTCATCTTTGTCCGGTCTCCCGGGCGCGCTGAGGCCCTTCGCCGCGTGCCCGGCGGCGTTTCCTTTCGCTTCTCCTCAGGCTCGGGCCATTCGATCCACTCTGGGAGGGATCCCCGAGCCCGGAGAGGCTCTCGGAACTCTGGCGGCCGAGGTCGAGTCTTTCAGCAACCAGGCAGGGTGAAGTTTGAAAACAGGCTGCAGGCTAAAAAAGCTTGGGAGGCTGAGCCAGCAGCTGCTTTGGAGGGGCGCTTGAGTTGCCTTTGAGATTTTGTGGGTTGTCTGAAATTGCGTTGGGATTCCCGAGTTCATGTGCTGCGGAACAGTTAGTGGGCTTATGTAATGCTTTTGCGTCGCGTAAGCATCTTAAGTCCTTATGCCGGGCCCCTCGGAAGCCCCAGTGCCCTCTTATTGTCTGCTCTAGCGACTTAGGATCGCACCGGCCACACTGCTTTGATTACTTCCTGGTAGGGCCCTGGTGCCGCTGCTAGTGTCTTTGTTTATTAGCTTCGAGATGATCAGTGGTAGTTTGGGGTGTAGTGTAGAATCTGAATTGTGCATTTCAAAAATCTTACATTCATTTGAAAAAACATATACAGGAAAACAACAACTGTACGACTTAGCTGTGTAACATTTCTTACTGTGGGCCGGAGCTGGGAAGATAGCTTAGAGAATATGCCTCAACACTTTTGACAGGTTACTTCGTAAATGGTGATTATGTTCTTGGTGGAAAACGTAGGTAATGTCACCAAGAAAAACGTACGAACTCTAGGCTAAAGACTAGAAGTAACTGCGGTTTCCTGGAGCTGTCAGAGGTTTGATGGTTTGCTTGCCTTTGTAAAGTCATATTATCCTTTTCAGCTTGAATCCTTTAAATATTAGCCGGTTAATAGGTTTTACAGTGCAGTGTTGCAATTCTTTTATTTATACCAAAAATTGTATAATTTTTTTCTTACCTACTAATGTGTCTTATATTTTCCATAGTGAATGTTAAGTATTGAACAAAAATAAGGTGTATCGAATTGCTTTACACATTGTTTGGTGGTGGATTAGCCATAATTGTGGCTCTAGTTGTGGTGCTCCAACTGTAACTTTAAAGTTTCTTTTTTTCCACGAGATCTGAAAAAAAAAAAAGACTAAACACTAGGAAAAGCGTTCCTCATGAGAAATGATGAAATTGCTCTTGCTCATCTGTAGTAAACACAGGGAAACAAAGCAGACAGTTAACACACTACTGGCTCCTTCTAGGTAAAATCACATCAAATTTTAAAATGGCCTCGCTGGGCACATGCAGCTAAAAAAGGAAAAGAGCTGATGTAAGTGGTAGATATCCTGTTGTGAGTCAGCCTTGACTTTGTCAGTCAGGGAGTCCAAGCAACTGTAGAAAAGAGACGGAAAATTAAGTATCTCTTGAGAAACTTTAGTTAAAAATGGAGCATAGCTAAGAGACTTGTGCTGATAACAAGAACAAATTAATATACCTAGCCCTAAGAGACCCGTGATCTGTGTCCAAGGGGAAGGATGGCATCTTTGCATCTTGCAGCAGGTTTGTCTCTGACATTGCTTTGTGAGGGTGGTTCTGGTCATGTGCTTGGATTTGTAGAACCGATAGATCTAGTTTTGCAATTTTTATGTGGGTTTTACCCCCTTCTGTCCATATTCAGTGAATTGACCCTGTTTCATGTGGGCCTCCCATTTTGGCATCCATTCACCAATAAAATCTAGTGTTACTGTATTGAGCTTGATGTTGTTCTTGCCTGTCTCTTGTTTCAGGGATTAAATGATTAGTAAATCTGTGAGTCCTTAACTAATTTATCATCTTGGAGAGTTATGTATTCTGTTATGTATTCTCCAACACTCTTGGATTTCTCTGCTTTCTTTAAGTAGGGACTCGAAAGGGTAGCGAATATGTTGAATAATGCTGTGACGAAGTATTGAGTCTGATGACGTTCTTATTAAGGAGGGGAAAATCCCTGCTTTGGCACTGGGATAATAGAAGTAATGCCCTTGCCTTGTTTTCTTTGGGAGCTTGCAGTTACACCACAGAGAAACAGCCTTAAGGCAGCCAAGGGGATTGCAAAAGACCAACATCCTAGGCTCTATTAGCCAGCAATACGTCTTTGGACAAGGAGTGTCCTTTGAGCAGCAGCTTCATTATGTCATCTGTAAAAAAAAAGGCGGGGTGGGGGGGTACTGCTACTTCATGGGTTGCTGTTAGGATGAACGAGGTAATTTTTGGAAAAATGTTGAGAAACTCCTCATTATTCAAGTAATAGGTGGTATTATAGGTCAGAACATTTTAAAATAAAAAGGACTCTGAATATTTAAATTTATAAAACCCCTTAGATAGGACCCAGGACAGACTGGCTTTATGCTGAATTATGCTTTACAAGGAGATATATTACTCAACAAGATGAGATGGTATAAGAAGTAATTATGCTTCAGAATTAACTTGAGCTTCTTATCTATGGAAGGCACTGTGTATTAGGTTATATTATATACTGTAGTAGTTCTCAAACTTTCTCTTCCCAGGAGCCCTTTACACTTATTGAGAACCCAAAGAGCCTTTGTATGACTTATATTTATTGATGTTTGCTGTTCTAGAAATTAAAACAAAAATTTTAAATATGTATTTATTAGATCATTTAAAAATAACAATAATCCATTACCTGTCGACATAAATAATAGTTTATAAAAATAACTATACTTTTCAAAACAAATTTAATGAGAATGGCATTTTACATTTTTGCAACTCTGTTGTCTGGCTTAATAGAAGACAGCTGGATATTCATATCTGCTTTTGTATTTAATCTCTTCACATATCCCACATCATATAGCCTCTGGAAAACTGCATGCTTGTGAGAGAATGAGGGTAAACAATGTAAGTAACATCTTAATATTATTCATGAAACTAGTTTGACCTCATATACCTCCCTGAAAGGGTTTTGGAAACTCTCAGGGTTCTAAGACCACACTTTGAGAACCCACTAGTATCCAACTATAGTAATTGTTAAGGACACCTGCTCTTCTCAAAATCACTTAAAAATATTAGAGAAATCCTTAAGGCTAGCAACATTTACGTCTTTGTGGAATCTTAGTGTTTTTGAAATATTTTAACTGGAACAGATCATGGGGTCTAGTCCCTTGCTCTCAAAAAAGTTACAGTCTAATCTAGTTGGGGAGAGACAGGAAGCTAACTGGTTAGAAGATAAATCCATGTTGTGGTTTAAGGTAAATGTTGAAAATAGCTATCTCCTAATAAGGTAAAAGCTGATTTATGCGTATCTTTGCTAAAGGCATTCTTGTTTTAAATGAAAAAGTTTAAAATAAAAACCAGGGCATTTCTCTTAAGCTTTTTCTTATGTGCCCATACCAGATACTATTTTCAGAAGCTGGAGGCTTGGGCATTTCTTATTTTTGTGGGTAAGAGAGTTGACCACGTGGCAAAAGACAGGGGAAAAAACCGGACTTGTTTAAAAAGATGCCCTAAACACAACTGTTTTAATAACTAAGGAAAGCCAAAGACCAAACGTTTGGACTTGAAGGGTTTGGATTAAATAACCAGTTAAATTTGAGATATTTTAATAGCATAGACATGAGAATTTTTCCCTGGTTAATTCTTCAAAGAGTTGAGAATGCCTCTTTAAGTTTCTAGTAAACACTTGCCCTCATATTACTACTATACCCAAGAAAAATAAGTATTGATCAGATAAATGTTCTGCAGTTTTGCGTGGACATTGGCAATAAACCCTTTCTTTGAAGGAACAATTAATAGGATGAGGTACTGATTATTGTTTGCTTATCAGTGGTACTACATTTGTAATTAGTGATAAAGGTGAGAGATCACCTTGATGGGGGATGGGTTATTTTGTATCATATTTCTCTTATAATGTGCATCTAAAGAAGACTCTTGTATGCCTTGTCAACTGAATTTTCTAGATAGAATCAGTCATTTGTTCCTCTTTAGGTCAGTGCATTTACTGCTTTTTAGTAACACTGTATGAAGTATTTATTAAGTGTCTAACACTTAGTAAGACACTCAGTTCCTTCATTCATTAAGCAAATACCACTTTCTTCCATTTAGATGGTGACTAGAATGGCCTTAAACTTTATGTCGAAAATAAATGTAAAGTAAGTGAGCCTCCCCAAAGAATGCTTTCACCAGCCTTCACTCCCAGTATTTTATTCTGTAAGGTAAACTTTGAGCAGATGACCACTTGCAGTGTTGTTACCACAATGAATTTGTATTCTTTTCACATTCTGTGTTTATAGGAGGGCAGGTGGACATTTTAGTAGTAAATGTTAATGGACCTGTTAACAATCAGTGGACAGGGATACTTTTTCACATAAATTCTGAAGATTAATATTTGAATTTCATATGCTTTTCAGAAGAATTTAAACCTTTTTGATAATATTTGTTAGCTTAAGTCAATTGTAATTGCCCTTAGTTTTTCAGCCAGTATTCTGCCCCTTCCCCCAGAACCTTAAAGCAGCTTCACTGTATTTCCAAAGTCTCTACATAATTGGTAGTAGATG